CCTCTGTTCTAGTCCTGAAGCAGTCCACCCCAAGTCCTGTGGCCATGGTTGCAGCTTTCTGCATCTGCCTTCGTTCCGTGTAGATTGATGCGTTTCTTTGTAATTTCAGTGTTTCTGACAAGACTTAAAAAAAAAAAAAAAAAAAAAAAACAGAAAGAAAAAACGAATTTACTGCTGCAGGTTTTTTTCTCTCTCCATGTGTCACTAAGTGAAGTTTGTGCCTTCTATAGCAAAGAGAATATTTTTTACATCCTACTAACAGTAGATTTTTTTGTAGTGAACATTTTTTGTATTTTTATTTATAAGTCTCATAAGAAAAATAGCAATGTTCAGTTGTATACCTTGAATCTGCAGTTAGAAGAGAATAAAGTTAATTCAGTTGTCTCTGGCTTGAAGTGTCCCTCTCTTTTTGGGGGCTTGGTCTTCTGTGCCTTTTCTTGGGTGGGGAGCAGTTTGAGGAACTGAGATTTCTGTTTGGGGATGTGGGCTGAGCAAACTCAGGATCACACACTCAACCTTACTCCTGTGGTACTTTAACACCGTGTTTATGAGGCGCACACCTGCGACATTTTTCTAACACTTTTTAACCTGAAAACTAGTGTTGAATGCACTGGGCCACTGGATCCTTGCTACAGTGTACACGGTGTGTCTAGTTCACTCACTCCTTCCCATCAAGCCCTTGCCCAGCGTCAGCTCCGACAGGGTGGGAACAGGATAAGTCCCTGCCCGCAGGAAGCTGCAATCCTGGCTGGAGACACTTGACCTCCTCTGGCGAGAGGCAGTCGGAATTGGCACCCAGATCCCCTGATACCAAATCAGGTTTGTTTTTTCCAGGACTCCACCTGCAGGCGTCTCCCATTCGATCTTTATATACAGACAGTTGGAATTGTTCTTAGCAGCTAAGCACACTTCAGAATTTTCTCCCCAAGGGCCACCACCTAACTAAGGTTTCTGGGTCTCCTTGGGAAGAAAGGAGAAGAGAGCTGGCGGGAGCTGGCGGGAGTCAGAGGTGCAGACAGCATAAAGCATTTCCACAAAACTCAGTGGGAATGGCCCCACCCCCCTCCCAGTCTCTGGACCGAAGCTGCCTCTCCACTAGCTGCTTCTACTGGGTGGAGGCCTCGCCCTGGGCCCTGTAGCTACAAAACCCATGTCACCCGGTCCTAGGGTCCCCAACCCGGCCTCTGTGGCTGAGGCCACCCAACCAGGCATATCATGGAATAATCTGGCTCCTTCCCTAACCCTGAGGACCCTGAAGAGACTGCCGGCCCCCTTGAGACACCAATGCCGAGCCTGTAAGGGGCCTGACCGCCAGCATGACTGGGAGGCACAGGGAGCCGGAGGCCAGCTCAGCGGGCCTGACCGGCACCTGGCACCTGCTTTGGCAGGGCAGGGGAGAGTAAGTAGCCTTTGGGCCCCGGGGCTCTGCTCGCTTGCCTGGACCACCTTCCAGGACAGGAAGTGACGCACACCCAGCCCCACCGCCAGCCAGCTTCCACACCTGTCCTTGCCTCTGCTCTTGCTTCCATGATCCTTCCCAGCGCCACCTCTCCGTTCCTTCACCCCCAGTCTTCTTTCTTTCCACTCCTCCTCTTCATTCCTTCCCTTTCCCCCCAACACCCGCCTCTCATGTCTTGCAGTTTCCTTTACTTTTGTGTCTCTGGCCTACATTACTTTTCGCCATAATTCTCATCATGAAAAACAATCCTTTGCCAAAATTATTATTCCTCCGAGTCCTCTGTCTGTCCCTGTTTTCCCAGGGTCCCTGCTCGCTCATTCCCTTGGTCTCACCCCCAGGCCTCCCTGCCCCTCCCCCCTGGGGCCTCAGCTTTCTCTTGACAGATGGGAGGGCAGTGAGCAACTCCCTCTTTAAAACAACATTTAATCGCCGTTTTCTGTTCTTGGACATCAAAGCTGGGGCTTAGGGCCTGTGCTGGGGTCGCTGCCGCCTGGGCTCTGGGGGAGAGGAGGTGAGTGAATAGGGGTCGGGCTGAATGGGCTTTGTGTGGCCGCCAGGGTCCGCCTGCTTTACATGCTCTTTGACCCAGATATGATCTCATGGAGAGAAAGGGGCCCTGGCTGGCCAGCCTGAGAACGCACTGTGGCCTGCCTTAGCCCTCTCCCTCCTCCTGGGGCAGGTGACTGGCCGCCCACCCCTGCCAGCCTGGCCCCCGGCTGCCCTCTGCCCCAGCCCGGGCAACCTCCCCCAGAACCAGGGGGCGCTCTTGGCTTTGGACAAGGGGCAGGGTCTGTTCCTTCCAAATGTGTCTCCACAGACACACACGTCCTGCTGGTCAGGGCTGCTTAGTCAGGTGGGCATACCTCTCAACACGTGGCCTCGGCCTTTGCAGCTCCCCGGGCCTCCTGAGGCCCTGGCCAGCTGAGATTGCTGAGGACTCTGGTTGGTGGTGGCCACGACAACGGGGAGAAGTTAGCTAAGTCCAAGGCCTCAGCGCAGCCTCTTCGCCCGGCCGCCTGGAGCCCCTGCACCGCACCAGGAAGGGGTCTGAGGAGCGCTGACCCCAGGTATTCGGTCTCCAGGCAGGCCCTCCCTCTGCCCCCTCCTCTGCCTTGCTTCTGGCAGCCAGAGGGCTTTTCCGAAATTGCACATGGCATCATGCCACTCCTTTGATGACCGCCCCTCCGTGCCTCGTTTCTCTTAGGACTGAATACAGACGCCTTCACCAGGCTTGCAGGACCTCAGCTACAGAGCCCTTCCCCCACCCAGCCTGGGGTGGGCTTCACCCCAGGTCCCTCGGCTACCCCTGCGTATTTCATGCGCCAGAGGCCTGGACCGTGGGGGTTTCGGGGAGACTCGGAGCTGTGGCCTTTGGTCCTGTCATTCCTCTTGTGGGCACTGCACCCACACGTACTCGCCCCCTCCCTCAGTCTGGCTTCCTCAGCTCCTCACTCGGGTCAGCGCCAGCCTTCCCCGGGGATCTTCCCTGGCCACTGGGGGCCTCTGCAGCTGCTCCTGTGCATCCTCTGCGGTTCCATTTGGTATGTACCCCGTATGCACCCCAACTGCCACCTCTCCTGCCCCCAACCCAGCATTCTGCTCCTGGAGGGCAGGACTTGCAATGTGTAGCTATCTTCCTGTTCTCCAAGCCCAGCACTGGCTGGCACGAGGCAGGACATCTTGGCTGTGTAAACAGCTGAAAGAAAGCAAGAGAAGGGGTGGGCAGAGGAGAGGCCCTGAGCACCCTTAGTGTCTGGGCTGTGGGGGGCCCTCATGCTCCTCGTGTGCCTGCCCAACCCGCCGTGCACAGGGCCTAAGCTCGGTCACGAGTGCACGGGGCCTCCTGCTGCCTGCTCATGCTCATTTCAGTCCATGGAGATGCCTCAGCTGCACTTGTCATGAGCACCGGGCAATGACACCTCACAGGCAGGGCACTGCCAGGGTCCAGGGGGTGGGTGGGGGGTTGTGCATGGGAACACCTGCGCCTCAGCAGACATGGGGGCTGCCCCCAGCTCCCTCTGCTTCTGGGCCCAGCTCGCAGCCCCACTCCCAGCCCTGCCTCTCTCAGGCTGGCAGGAGGGCAGGCGCCTCTTTGGGCCCAGTTTTCCGCTCTCCAGGGGGTCCCTGGTGAAAGTGAACTCACTTATTTAAACCTGACTCCACAGCCCCGCAGCCCCCTGCAGGGCTAATTACCCTGCAGTTCCAAACTGATTGCTGTAGCTAAGCTGCGCCCTCCTCTATTTATTTACTGACTACATTAATAGCGAAGCTGTGCTGCTTACAGCCACTCCCATGCATGCGGGCTCGCTGCACCCCGGTCCCCTGCATCTCCCCAGAGAGGCGGGGTACAGAGATGCAACCTGGCACAGAACCCCCAGATCTGCCACCCTCATGCAGTCCCGGGGCCAGACAACAACGCGGAAATCCTTCTGCCCAAGCTTACTCGCGGACCCGAGGGAAGGGGCTGCTACTCCGGTCCAACACCTGGACAGCTTGGGGGACCATCGCACCCCAGCTCATCGGCCAGAGGGATCCTCTATTTATAAATACCCAGAGGCTTCCACTGAGCCTCCGCAACTCCTGGGGGCACCCAGCACCACCACACTTGCCAGGTGAGTAAATGCTGCGTGGCTGACGACCTCAGTGCAGGAGGTGGCGAGGGTGGGACTCGAAGCTAAGCTTTCTCCTTCCAGCCGCTCTGCTCTGTCCTGTGGGCCACACTGCTGCCCAGACCCTTCAACCAGGAAGAGCCCCCCACAGTTGTTCAGTTGTGCGTGCTTATGGCTTCCCTCCCTTGCACAGGGAAGTCCTGTGTTGAATCAAAACTTGTAGCTCCCAGCCATGTCCACATTCTTCACATGATCGTCTCGAATTTGCTAGAAGTTGGGTGCCTAAGTCTTTTTCCACATAGACCTAAGTGCAACCCTAGCCACACCCCTACTTCCCTGTACCTGCCCCATCTGGGCAGATTTAGGGAGTGGAGAGGCAGCCCCCAGCTTCTGGCCGTGGCGTCCTACCTTCCCCAAGTCCCCTGAAATGGAGCTGGGTGTGGCTTTGGAGCCTGGCAGCTTCCTGGATACCAGATGGGCACCATTAGCCCGCAGCATATGGGACCCAGCGCCCAAACTCTGTCAAATTTGAAATAGCGTGGTGGCTGCCATGTTTGGTACCCCCTCTGGAAGAGGGGCATAAAGGACTTGGGGTTCAGAGGCAGGAGGGGCTGGGTTTCAGGCCAGGGCAGCCACTCACTGTGTGACCTTGGCTGCATCTCTAACTGGCTCAAGTGTGTGTGTATGTGTATATATATATTTCAAATGGACAGCGGGTTCCAGGCTGGTCTGAGAGGGAACTGATGGCCTAGACATTGATTTCCGTGGCAGAACCCCGACAGCCAGGACCCAGAAATCTTGGGGTTCTGACGCGGATGTCTACCCAGATATATCGCTGGGGCCTTGGCGCCACCTAGTGGGAATGGTCTGCAGGTGCTCCTGCTGCTCAGCCCCAGTGGGGAAACGAAAGGGAGGTGTCATTTTGGTCTCTTCCTGTGCAGGGCGGCATTTGTGCTGGGTAAGAGGAGAACGCGGACCAGATATAGACCAGAGAAGGAACGCCTTAAGCTTCTCGGCCAGTCCAGTTAGACTTTCCAGAAACCCTCCTGAGTTAATATTTCTATCCTGACCGTTTTTCTGCCTGGTTCCCCCACCCCCACCCCACTGACCAGTTCGTCATGACAAGTCCAATTGCTCCCTCCCCTCCCCCAAAGGCTGCATTAGAACCAACCCAGGGCCCGTCTCATGCTGAGAGAAGAGCAACCTCAGAGGAATCCAGTTCCTCCAAAACTTTGCACCTGGAAGAGCGAGAGAGAGCGAGAAACAGGTGCCCAGGAGCTCAGATGCTGAGTCATCTCCCCAAAGGCCAGAGGGGTCACGCAGGAGTCTGGGTGCCAAGGGGCCAACCCTTCCTCACACCCTCCAGAGCACCTAGGAAAACCAGAGGAAGAAAATTCAGCAACTCAGCTCCCACCTCCGTATAGCTCCCCCTAAGACAGCCAGTGAGCCTGGTGCCCACCCCAGGCCCTCACAGCTTGCTCCGGTGATTCAGCCTGGGTTCTCCGGTCACTGCGCTATCGATCCGCCCTTGGATATTTGAGTCTGCAGAGTTTTTGATTAGAAGTGGTTTTAGGATGAGCCATCTGGTTTCTTTCCTCGCCCCTCCAGCCATCGCCAACGCATGGACTACATGGCCCCTCCCAACTCTGAACTCCTTGGATTCTACGGCTTTGTCAGGTGCGCAGACCCCTGGGTCTGCATCACCTGTTAGCTGTTTAAAAAGCAGCATTTTACTGTTGCGCCTCCGTCCGCCTAGATCAGCGAGGTCTTCGGTTTAGCACGAGCTTCTATTGACATCAGGTGGTGAGAAAGGGGAACTGCATGCCGGGTGGTTGGTGTGATGGACCTTGTCAGCGGGACTGGGCTTTCCCTAAGGCAGCCCTGTTCTGAAAGGGACACGGGCACAAGATGGCGGAGGAGGGACTGAGCCCTCAAAAGTGTGACTTGACCGTTATTCACCTCACTCTCAGACGTCATGTGCCAATTAGTATTCTCCTAATACCCTATCCCACACACTTGACCTTTCCCTTAATTCTCCAGAGCACAGCTGCGACCAGGCTGGAGCACTTAAGTTCAATTTCCCTGAAGTTTCAAGGACAAAAAAAAAAAAAATAAAAAAAAAAACAAGTACCAAGAAAACTATAGCAATGGGCCTGTTTTCTGCCTGCCTTCAGGAAACAAGCGCATCTCTAACCCCCAACACTGAGTAGCTCCGTAAGGCGAGGCGTGAGCATCGGGTTTCTGATGGATGGTGTGTCCGTCGTCCTGGCAAAGGTCAGATCCTCCTCTTGGGCGCGAGTCCGCTGTCTCTGGCTTTCCAGTCTGCTCCTCCAGTCATCATTTTTCCTGCTGCTGCTGCATTCATTTCTCCCTCTCAAACAGATCGTTTCCATCAGCACCCCCCCCCCCACTCCTGTAGTTACCACCCAAATCACTCCTCTCTAAGGGACAGCAGAGGTCTGTCTTTCATTTATCTGACACTTTCTGATTTTCAGTTTTCTTCTTCCATTGAAGCTGTCAAGGTCATCAGTGTCCCATCTTTAGAGTCCAACGACTTCTCTACTGCTTCTCAGCCTCACTGGCTCACCCTTTGCACTTCCTGTGATGGGAATTTGGACATTAGCCATATCTGAATGGTTCCCATACCTTCTTGCTTGTCTTACATTTACCCTGGTGCTTCATCCGCTGTTGTTGCTTTCATGGGCAGGTGGCTCACAAATATTTATCTCCAGTTTTGAGTCTTCCATCAAATTGCTTAGTTGACACATATAGTTAATGTCTAACACATCTCCAGCCTAACTTCACCGAACCCTACCAACACATACCCACACCTGCCTCTTCCACATATGAGAATACAAGGTATATATAATGCCAGCTGCTGTAACAAGTGGATCCAAAGTACATAATGGCTCAAGCACAATAGACCTTTGGGTCATCTAAAAGAGTTGGCTGGGATGAGAAAGGCAACATTTTTTGTTGTTGTTAAAGATTTATTTATGCACACAAGAACTGGGGTACAGTGCAAAGGTGTGGGGGGCGAGAGGTGTGTGTCTTCCAGAGACACAGTAGGGAGCAGAGCAGGAAGATCTACTGAAACACACTGCTGAGGGGAGCAGCAGGTAGGTCAGGAGAGGTTTGCTGTGCCATGTTTGTCAGCTCCAGGGCGGGCATCGAACTCATGCTACAGTGGCTGCAGGGAGCTTCTTAGTGCTGCGCTTTAACCCCTTGCGCCAGGAGGGAGGTGACCATGAAAAGTGACATTCTTAATTTGATATTTACTAAAGAACTGAATGAGTCCCTTCATAAGAGAATTGTCAGTGAGTATTTCTTGAAGCCTTTCTAGTCATGTTTCCTATAATTTTGAGCAGAGGAAGAGCAATCAGCTGATCTATAGCCCAGATATAGCCAAATCTCTTGATTCCCCCTATTTTCTTTCCTTGTTTCTTGGAAATTTGTCATGTTTTCCTTGAACTTATCTCTTTTAGTAGCAATATCTTGTTACAGACACTGGAGAAAATCAACATACACTAATATTCTGGTTCATTCCCACGGTGTCGCTTAGAGCTAGTGGCTCAGAATATACCTGGGCTGTCTTTCCAGGTATCGCAGGCAAGAGTGTCCTCTGTGTAGTATCGCTCCAGTCGTGGGCTCTGTCTTTACAGCTAGCTCACTCTCCTTGCTGGCCACTGTCCATGTCTCTGGCTCTTTCCTTCTGTTCCCAGCTATGGGCAGGTCTGTATGTGACTTTCTGCCAAGAGCTCTCTGCTCCCTTAATCTTGGCCTGAATGTCTCCTTCACCTGTAATTCAGTTCTTGGCCCAAGTATTGCTTCCCTACCAGGACTCCCCTACCTACCCCTTGTAAAGTTTCTTTTTCTTTCTGTCTCAAGCTCCCTTCTTGGTTTACATCTTGTGGCCCAGGCCCCATGCTCCTGGGACCCTGTTGGCTGTATTTACCACTGTATCCTTGGTATTAAGACCACACATGCCAACATTTACATAACGCTGTGTACCACAAGCTGTTTCACTGAAAAAGGTTTAACAACACATTTCAAAGGTACATAAAAGTAACAGACATGAATGATCAGTTCCTTATCACAGGGGAGCTTCTATGGACCCATTGCCCAGAGCTCATAAGCTGACGAGTTTGCTATCCTCACTTCAGCTATCCTTCCTCATTTTCCTTTCATTTCTCTTTGTTTCTGTTGAAGTATTTTGAAGAATCTCCCAGGCATCATATCTTTTCTCTTTCTACCTTCTTCCATGCATAGATTTTTTCCCAATGAGTTTTTCCTATTAACTTCAGTGACATTCACACATCTCCAAAAATTAAAAATGAGTTCTTTTCAAGTTTTCCCTGACTGCCTCAAAAAATAAATTTGTAACACTCATCTTTTATAATTAAAAGTCTAACCAGGGCCATATGTGGCCTCTGTTTATTTCTCTTAAATCTCATGCCCTCACCCCTCCCTCATGCTGTTGATTTGTTGAAGAAAGGCATGATTATGAAGAAACAATTCCATTGTGAAATGATGAAGGCCTGAAATGGGATTGGTTAGCAGGGGTAAAAAAGAGAAAGTGACCTGAAGGAGAGCGTCATCTGGTCAACCCTGCTTTACATCTGTGGAGACCTCACAGAGGCACTCAAGAGCTTCAATAGCAACAGGATAGCTGTTCCCTCTTACAGGTTCCTGGTGGGACAGTTGAAAGAAAACCTCAGATCAACTCATTGTATCTCTTGGCTTAGTCCCTGGCCCAGCCTCTCCCAGTTGAATAGAAATCTACACAATTCTCCCCAAATTCCCTTTTTATCTTGCATCATCTGAAGTTTCTTAGGAGAGTCAATGTCATTATACTGACCATCGTTCCTAGACTAGTGAGCTGGGCACTAAACCATATAGTTTTGTCCTACTTCTTTAAAAGTGCACTCAAATGTGGATACAGTGGAATACTACAGGAAACAATGTGGGTATAGCACAACTTCTTCAGCCAATCATCTATCAAAAGACATTTAGGTTATTTCCATGTCCTGGCTTGAAAATTATGCTCCCAGGAACATTGAGGAACGTAAGGGCTTTTCTGTTGTTGATAGTTTCAAGTTGGGAAAATTTTGACCATTTCTCTCCTCATGGTCTTCTGCCCTATTCCCTTCCTTGCCTTTAGGGACTCCAATTACACATATGTTAGCTTTCTAGGTTCCATGTTACCAAGGCTCTGTGAATTTTGCGTCAATCTTCTTCAGATTGGATAATTTTTATGATTCTTCAAGTTATGGACTCTAATGCTATTTTCAGTCTCCTGTTGAAATTTTCAGTGAATCCTTCACTTTTTAATCACCTTTGAAAGAATAGTTTCCATTTCTCTTTTGTGATTCCCTGTTTGCTGTTTTCGCTTTTGTTCCTTAAACACATTTGTTAGAGCTGCTATAAAATCCTGGTATGCCATTTTCAGTCTCTAGATCATTTCTGAATCTGTCTCCACTGAAATCTTTTGTTGCTGAGGGTGACATTTTCCTGCTTCTTGGCATAGCTAGAGACTTTGTTTTTGTGGCTGGATATTGTGGGTGATCATCATAAGAGGCCTAGCTTATACTGTTTTCCTTTAAAAAGGGTTATGCTTTTTGACGGGCAGTTAATTTACTGGAAGCTTCCCTTGCTCCTGTCAAGACTTACTTCTAGGCTTCATTAGGGTGATTCTAAAGCAACCTTTATTCTAGGGTGTGATCCTTCTTCCCCATATATAATGTTTTTGGTGCCTCCCTTGAATACTGAGATACTGAAGCTCTCTCTACTCTGGCCGGAGCTGGACTCCAGCAATACATGACCTTAAGGATTCTGCTCTCAATTCCATAGCAATCACCCTCTTAAAAAGTCCCCACCAGTGTATGTGGAACTCATTCCTGACCAAAACCCCTGTTGCAGGTTAAACTGCATCTCCCCAAAGATATAGTGAAGTCCTTAGCTCCAATACTTTATTTAGAGTGTGATCTTTATTTAGAAAGTCTTTACACAGGTGATTAAATTAAATTAAAATGCAGTCTTCAGGGTCGGTCCTAATTCAATATAAACAGTGTACTCATAGAAAGGGGAAATTGCATTTGGAAACATTACCCAAGAACAGCATGTCGAATGAGGGCAGAGGTCAAAGGGATGCATCTATAAGGCAAGAATGTCAAGGTTTGACAGTGGAACAAGAGGAGCCAGGGAAGAGACCTGGAACCAATGCTCCCTCCTGGGCCACCCTCAGAAGGGGCCAGCCTTGCTCTCCCCTTGATCCCAGTCTTCCAGAATTGTCAGCGAATAATTTTATGCTATTTAAGCCACCAGTGCATGGCACTTTGTTATGGCTGCCCTAGAAAAGGTATACATGCTCACATAGACGTTGGGACCCCCTAATGTGACTCCCCACTCCCTGGTGGCCAGTCTCCCAGACTCTGCTTGCTTTTGTAGCTTCAAACTCAGCTCTTTGCTGTCTCAGCTCAGCAGGGCCTTGCGTCTGTTCTTGGGCTTTGCCTTCCTGCGCTGTTCCTAGGAACCTGCAGGAACTTGATTGGTTGGTGTATTCCTTCTCACAGCTGGGGGGGGGGTGGTGTTGGGGTCTCACAGCTGCGGGAGCTTGGGGGGTGTGGTAAGAGGTGCTGCAAGGGGGCTACTGCTGGACCAGTGCCTGTTCACCCACACTGCTTGGTTTTATAGTTGTTTATGGTGCCAGGCAATTCCAGTATTTTTTCCTCCATCCCAGCCAGATGTGAACTTTCTGAGTTTTTTATTTGAGTGAATTTATCGAACCTTCTCAACAACTCTGCAAGGTAGACTGTTATCCTCATGAGTTCCAGATCAAGAAACGAAGCAAAAAAGGACATTGGGGAACGGGTCCCTGAACGCAGCTAACAAGTGGTGGAGCAGGATAGTGATCCTGGACCTTTTGCACTGGAATCTATGTGCTTAAACTGGGTGATCTTCCTTGGTCGCTGCTCTGTGGATGCACATGCCGTGAATGTTTCTTCTACCTTTATTGCCCATTTACCTTCTGTTCCAGCTGCTCAGGAAAATCCCAACAGTACATCACCCCAGTAACTCCACTTTTGCCCTGAGAGACGGGCCTTTCTGACCAA